TACAGTATGAAGGATTTAAGATACATGCAGAAAAAATGTTCACATTCAGAATAATTCAGCTTGTTCTTTTGTAAACTGTACCTTATTCCCTTTGTCGATGTTTAAAATGACAGCAGTGAAAATACCTAGTTTTATAAATCTGAGGCTTTTATATGCTTAAATGCACAATTGTTTGATAAAATCTGAAGCTTCTACACCTGGGATATTTCTGTAAGTGTGGCCGTTAGATTTTGTCTTTGCACTGACTGATTCTTTTTATTTTTTCTTGTGTACCTTGTAGCTACACAACCTTTTGCCATGTGTACATTTTTCACAGCTTATGCAACGTTGTGAGGTATTGTGAGGTGTAACATAAACGGTCCCCATTGGCCTTGAATGGAAAAATGCCTTTTTTTATCAGTCTTGTGGATTTTTCAGCTCCGTGTTGTGAATTGCCAGCATAATTTCCATGGAAACGTCTTTTTTTTCCCTCCACTCAAAAATGTTATTTGCACCGAGTAGACTTGTGTAAATGAAATCCGAAGGGAGGTCTGAGAAATTGACTTGCAAAGCATTACTGATAATCCTGGTTGCTGTGGCAATAATCTACTTAATTCAGAAATGCAGACTTGAGCGTTCATTAGTGTTAAAGGTTCCTCCCCTGTGCTGCTGGTCACAAGCACCTCTCTCCTGATTTGTTAGTTTGTTGTTTTTTCGAATATGTTAACCTAAAATTAAATACAGTTCATTGTTCCCTTTTTCCCGCTTTTGGTTTCTTCCTCGAAGGTCTTGTAACAAGAAGAGGAAAAACCAAACAAATGAAAGCGGGAGGCACAAGTACTTGCTTAATGACAAGTGAAAGTCCATTTTCCAGGCAGGAAGTTGTTGGGCCGATGAATTTTGCGAAATGCGGTCGGAATTGCCGGTCTTGTTTGTTCCTTTGTGGCGTTCACCCAGTGTGACCTCAGATACAAGTCCTCAGTGGCGGATTTGCCTTTGGTTCTCATTGCGCAATTGCATTTGCGGATTTTAATACCCGCAAGAGGATTCATGTTTCTTGGTTTTAGATGAGTCACTGTAAGAGCATCTTGCCACTAAGACAGGACTGTACTTCTGATCAGTGCTTCCAATGTAACATTATAATATCATGTAAGTGGTTTTCTAGACTGTGCATGAAATTATAATGAATAGCTTCTCTCGTGCTAAGACACTTCTGAAATATGCCCTCGTACCTGACTGTAAATCAAACATCTAAGGCATTTTCTGTCCTGGCTGATTGGTGAACAGAAAACTTAAAAAAAATAGACATAAAGCATGTTTAGCAAAACCTACAACTGTGTACTGAATAAGCAGTTGGAAGGTAAATGGATTTTTATCACTTACCCTACGTGATCCCATCAAGCTACTGATGATTTTTTTTTTCCTTATTACTTGCTTGCGTTTATACTTTTCTGTTTCCTGTGGAACTCACACAGTAAATTGCATTTGCCCTTAATGGGGGAAATAAAGAACAATCGACTTTGCTTTAGGACATAATCGTTTGTCGCCCGGTCTTCCGCCATAGAGCGGTAAAGCAAAATGGGATTACTGGTGCAGGAGAAGCCCGGGGCGCTGGCCTTCCAGGAAATTAATCACCGTCCCGCCAAATTGCAGCGATGGCCCCTGAAGTGAGCAAAATGGCCGCTCCTTACTGGACATTAACACAATAAATATAGATGTTCTGAAATAAATAACTGCAGGGGGCACCCTGGCCACTGGGTGGGATGGGATTACAGATATTAAAAACTCCATTTCCTATAAGCATTTCATTGTTTCCCACCAGTTTTGAACTATACAGTATACAGTGCAGTTTTTACAGGTTTAGGGTGTCAGTCACCCGGAATCATTCACCCTGAATCTCTCACATCGGTTTTCAAGATGTTTCTTTCTTGCTCTGACCTCCTTTGCCTGATCCAGCTTATTTAATGTTATCATATGTTATCATATGTTTATCCCCTGGTCGCATATGCTGCCTGGCCAAAACACAAGTCACAGTTTTGAATTTAAATCAGCAAGTACATAAGAGTCAATAATTGAAGACAGCTGAGTACCTGAATCTACTGAATTGCCTGGTTATACCATCAATGGATTTTTTCATTCATAATGCCAAGACTCATCGGGCTGGAATTGTTCAAAGAGTAATTCAGAGAGCATGAGGAATCATTTTCACACGTGGATTGGCCACCACAGAATCTTGACCCCATTGAATGTCTTTAAGATGTGCTGAAGAAAACTTTATGGCGTTCAACTCACCTGTCACCAATGCAAGATCTTGATGAGAAATGAATGCAAATTTGGATGAAATAAAAAATGTTGAGATTTTGGATAAGCACGTGGAAACAATGCAGTGACGAATGTGCACCATAATCAAAGCTGAAGGCGGTCCAACGAAATATTAAAAGTGTGTGACCTTTTTTTTTGGCCGGGCTGTGTGCATTTATTATACCATAGACTCATTGGTTAAATGATGTCATGTGAGATGCCTTGTTCTGCCTGAGTGTAACATTGGGGGACTTTTAATTTATTAAAGGACTGTGCACTCGCTATTATAAACCGTAAGTCTATATCTTGGGCATGTGAAAGAAGCCTGGAGAACAAGAATACAGTTGCGCACCCTACATTGGTGGAGGAAACATCAATGGCATTTGATACTCTGATGATATTCATGATGGAAAATTAAGATATGAAGACTGACAGAGAGCATTAACGGACAGAGTGAGACGATGGGAATATGGCTAAACGTGAAGCAATCAAAGGATGTGACAACAGGATATGATGTCAAAGACATACAGGATATAGACAATTTTTACCTCCTTAAATAAGCATCAATAACAAAGGATGCAGCAGTTAAGAAATATATTGCAGGCTGATACTTGGCAGAGCTGCAGTGAAGGACAAAGGAAAAACAATTCAGAACTATTGACATTTCTCAGAGCAAAGATCGCAATTATTCAGATTCTGTGTCACTTTTTATGGATGGGAAAGCTGGACTGTGATGAAGTGGTATAGGTAGAGTATCAATGCCTTTGAATATCACAGATTAAGTAAAATAATCAAGTAGATTCTTGTTCAAAGCAAGCCTGAACTTTCTCATGACGCACAAATGGCTGGTGAATGATCAGTGATTGAAGCAGTCTAATTTTGGCACAAGAAGACCTCAAGAGGATGATGTGCAGAAACACCGTAGATCAGCATTTCCCAGTCCGGTCCTTGGGGACCCACAGTCAGTCCATGTTTTTGTTCCCTCCCAGCTCCCTGCCAGAGCAAAAACATGTACTGTCTGTGTGTCCCCTAGGACCGGATTGGGAAACACTGCCATAGACGGGCTCAATCATCAACATGAAGATGCTGTTGGGAAGCCTGAAGACACAGGCAGAAGGTTCTGCAGGATTTATGTCTGTATGCTCATCAGCAGTCAACACTGCGTGCAGTGAAGGTGCCAGTTACCTCAATGTACGGGGTCACATCATAACCAACGACAGAATTAGCTGCTTTTCTGGGTAAAGAGAAAACCAAATTAGTCCTTAAGTCTCCCCAGCTGTGTCACCCAGTAACTTTCCAGTAATTGTAATTGATGACCGGTTTGACCATGAAAGATGTCTCTGTTGCGTCACTGTCCTTCGGATCTTGTTTTACGCTTGAGGGCACAAGCTCGTTTTGCCACTGTTGTCAGGATGCTCTAAATCTGCTCTGCCCCCCCACCCCCACCCCCTCGCATTCTGCATCCTTTCCGATAACTGCTGACGAATGATCCAACAATTCAAACTGAGGAATGTCCGACTGCTGGTTAGCGTTAAGGGCTAATGGCCCCCAGCGGCACCTCTAACTGGCCCCAGCAGGAAGTCCTCTAGTAATGCATTCCATATTAGATGTCAACAGAACTTATATTGCTGTCTAAATCTGAAATTCCAAATGGTTTTTGGTGGAAAATGTAATTCCGTCACCCGGTGACATGCCCTCTGGTATTAAGTAGCAGTGTTAGGATGACTCAGAGCTGTCAGGCATATTTGCAGACGACCATCATGGGTCCCACTCAAACACAACAAACATAAACGTTCAGATGGCCGTGCTGTTGTGGTATGATGTCCCTGGTTTATCAAGTTGACGACGAACTATAATGAAATTAAAGCAGCTTCTGTTTTCCATCGTCGTAACTTTCTAGGAGAATGAGACTGACAGCCTTGTCGTGTTGTTTTTTCTGCACCGTATGACTAACGTGCCCAAGTGCACTTTAACAAATCGAAACTGAAGTCCCCACTTCCGTTGTGTGATTGAACACCCCGCATCTTGATTTCATAATGGCTGATTGTCCAGTAGCCTGCCCCCCCCCATTTAGGCTGTAGTATATGACTTCTCATGCTCCCTTTCTTGCATTTATCATCAAGTTCCCCCCCACCCTTGAGACCCTCTGTTTAAATACCTTTAGCTAAATCCAATCCTCACGTTTCCCACAGTGTAACTATAAATGGAATCTGAGTCTGTCTGACATCCTTGTGTCCATCTTTAACCTCTTCTATGTTGATATGTAAACAATAGCTATGATACAGTTAATAAATATATGTATTGTCCAAATAGATATATGGTAGTATGCAGGGGGTCTAGAATTAGTGTGAGTCCTTTACTGAAAGTCCCTTATTGAGAGTCCCTTAGTGAGAGTCCCTTAGTGAGAGTCCATTAGTGAGAGTCCCTTAGTGAGAGTCCCTTAGTGAGAGTCCCTTATTGAGAGTCCCTTAGTGAGAGTCCCTTAGTGAGAATCTTTTAGTGCCCGGTTCAGCCTGGTTAGCACATTGGGGTTAGTCTAGTCGTGTGATCTCTGTATGCCTTGTATCTTCTGTCTGATGGTAGCAGTTGAAACAATAGTCCAGGCGATGCGTCCTTGTGGATGTTTGTTAAGATATGTTCTTGTCAGAAGAGAACCTCCGCTGGAGTGCAGATGGTATCCTTGAGCTGACATTGATTTCATCTGGTTCCTCTATCCGCAGCTTCACTATGGTCTGAGGCTCCAGGTCCACCTGCTCCATCCTTCCAGGAAGCTCCTGGCCTCTGCGGGCAGGAGGGCCTGCTGGCGGGACTCATGGCCGTGCACCTGTAAGGAGTCGTCGAGCTTCCGCGTCTCCTCTCACCAGACTACGGTCTCCGCTTACATCTCCGGGGCTCTCCTGGAGGCCATAGCTTCCATCGGGGCCCGCACTGCCATCCCCTGCCTGGCCAGCTCCTCCGGGAAGGCCATGCTGAAAGGTAGGCGAGACGCCGTAAATCCGGGGGTGACCACAAACCAGGAAGCCGGGGGGGGGGCTCTGTGTTATTACTCTCAACCCACAGAGCCGGCACTAAGGAATTGTTATGTACGATGCCTGTGTGCAAGATTTGGCCAAATCCAGTTAACCACACGGCCACAGGTACTTACATATGCGGTCAGTGACTCACTAGCACTGCAAAACCGCCACTGCCAGCCTGGCGCTATAAACCCAGCAGCAGTGTGCAGCCTAGCAGGTTAGGGATCTGTGGCCAGAAGACTGTGGGTTTAAATCCCGCGGCCAGTGGAGTATTCATATCACTCTTAGGCCCTATAGCAAGGCTCATAATCTCAGTCATTCCTGGGACACTGACTGTACTCTGCTCTCTGATCCTCACTTGTACATTGCTTTGGATAGTAGCATTTACATTTAATAAATCTGTTTAATGCTTTTATCCAAAGTAAACAGAAGGCTTATAAGTTTTTTTAACGTGTGCTCCCTGGAAATTGAACCCACAACCTTTAAATGGTTATAGCGCATAAAAAAGCATCTGCTGAATGAATGTAAATGTAAACTTTCTATTTTGCTACCTCTCAGCTTTTCAAAGTGCCAACAAGGACAGATGAATACAACAAATAAGTAAAATTGTATAATGTAGGGACCTCAAAGTGTAGCTACAGGTATTACCTTATATGTCATTCCCGACAGAGCGCTGGACAGGAACGTATTCCAGCACTATCTTACAAGGTTCATAGAGAAAGTGAGTTTCCACGGCGACAGCTGACAGTAACCATTCCACACAGTACAAATTCTCAGTGCGAGAATGTGGAAAAGGAGGGGGATTTGGTCCCGTTATGGGCTGTCGTTGTTGAACACGCTGTGCAGTGTAAATAGTGGCTGTGGTTTTGGACTGGGGCCGGGGGGGGGCAGCTGACTGATGACGGATGACCCGAGACTGGCGGTGCACCCAGAACACGCCTGCGCCAAACGCATTCTGGGGGGGGTGAGATTTCGCAGTCTGACCCCGCTGTCCCCCTTCCACACCGTGGGCCAAGGCGGTACGCTTATGTAAGATGAGCTCCGTCTCTCTCTCCCTCTGTCAAAAAGGGAATTTAAGAAAAAAAGTGACCGAAGCCAGGTGGGCTGGCTTTGAAGAGTGCCGCCCCCCCAAGCCAGATCATTCCTCCATCCAGGCATTACGAAGGACGCCCCCTCATGGTCCTCGTGGTGTCCTTGGCTCTCTTCCTGCTCATAACACGTGTGAGGTACAACAGGAGAGGGGCTCACGGGCTGTTCTGTAGCCCCTTGAACTTCCGCTCCGTGTCTCAGTTGGCGTCCGGGTGACGCACTCTGAATGTGTTGTTCTCAGGTGCGGTCTGACGTGTTAATTTCGCTTATTTTGTCTGGTATACACCCTTTAAGCTCTCTGGGTGTCTACGGCAGTGCCTGACAGAATAACCGTCCTGTGGCCCAAGACGTTAATACGATTGCAGCTTTATTCTTAGTTGAGTGCTGTGTTTAATATGCATTTTCCTCAAAGCATATCCCCAGGACCCTGCACGCAATAAAAAGTCAGAAGATGGATGGATGGATGAATGGTTTTATAAATACTCAGTATGTACTCAGTAAGTTTTGATGCTGCAGTTAAAATATAAGAACTGTACATATGTTTGAAATCCAGTTTAAGGAACTATACCAAAGTTTCCATCGCTGAGATAAACTCCTGCCTTTTATAGCACAGGGATTATAGAACTCATATATTAACTGTTCTGAATTGAGGTTACCGAATAATTGCAAGAGACTTCAAAATGCATCAGTCCCCTACATCAGTTCAGGAGAATCGGCTTCCAGTCTCAAGCTGGTTGTTGCAGGTATTAGCAGGATCCACTATGCTAATTCAGTTGCAGCTGATTGTTTGCAGGGTGGGGAATTAGGCATGAAGGGAATATTCGTAACAGGTTAATTAGTGAATAACAGGTGTTTTTGCAAGAGGGGTGGGGTAATGTCAGTGTAATCTTAGGATCATGCTTTGTAAGCGGCCATCTAAATTAAGGGTGGTTTAGATGTGCTCCTCATGTATAAGAGAGATGCTGCAGAGCAGGTTTAGTGAACTTCACATGGCTCCGGGTTAATTTGCACTTTACACGCAACAAAGCAGTTATTTGTTTGGCCTTTTATTTTTTTATGGACGGCTATCGTTTTCACTCTCCCGACGTTCTGCGCGCATCTGCAGATTGTGCTCCTGAAACGCTGTCTGGCCGTTTCGCCGTGAGGAAAACCAGACCCCCCTCTCGTTTAAATCGTACTTTAGTCGTGCTGCGGAGCCCCTGGACCTCGTTTTGTTTGAAGTTGAATAGAATATATTGTGCTCTGCTCTGCCTGCTGGCTTGTGCATACCTGCAAACAAGCCTGGAGTGAGAGAGACCTTCTGGGTCTCAGGATCCACAGCACCTGAATCCCCTCTCAGGTTCTGCAGGACTTCTTTCTTAATTCCTCCCTTGTTTTTAAGTCCCCTATTTACTGCCTGTTCACTCCTGCCCAGGTGTGCTCCACTTATTGAGTGAGTTCACTGAGTCACTACCTGGCACCGCGGCACCGTGACTCTCCGTCGGCATTGTTTCGGCGCCCCGTGAGTCACCTGACAACTTCTCTATTTTTCTGTTGGCTTTGAGGAACTCGCTGGCTTTTAGTAAACGCCGTGCTGCATGCTGCTAGCATGGGTTACGGCGCAGAATGGTCCAGCTGATGCACCCCTCAGCGCTTGTGACGCCAGGTTCGGTAAAGACTCCGCGAGTCTCCTGTCCCTCCCCGCGAGGTCTGTGGTGAGCACTTGTCAATTTTATTGTTGTTTATTAAATGGCTAGGGGTTGGGAGGTAGGCGGGGGCATTCAGGTGGCTGTCCCCCCCCACCACCACCCCCCCCAGGAGCATTGCGGGCGGCCTCTTTCATGTGCCGGTAACTGGAAGCCTGCTGGAGTCGCGGCTCGTGTGCTTGGGGCCAGTAGCTGCAAGGAGCCGCGTGAGCGACACTCGCGGGAACACAGCTGCTGCCGCAATCGCTCGCCGCGGACTCCACCCGGCACCGGCCAGAGCCCGGACACGCGATCCCGCTCCCCCCTTGCCCCCGCCTGTGCCGATGAAGCCCTCGCAGAGGACTGACTGCCGGCTGATCAGTGAGTGCACGTCCCAGCTCCCGGGGAGCCTCTTGTTTGCGTGGGTTCATTTATTATTGAACGGGAGCTCCGTTGATCTGCTTGACAGCTCCTCATATTCAGGTGTTTTTTTTTTTTTTGTCCGGACACAGCTGCACGCGTTGGGTGTAAAATGTGCCTGAAATAGAGCTGCCTGCGGAGTCTTAAACCCATTTGCTAGGATACCGGCACTTTCCATAGCCCAGTCATTTTTAATTGTGTTTTTGCTTCGTTATTATTGCCTGTTGGTTCGTCGTAATGTAGTGGCGGCTTGACAGGTGATCCAGAATGTCGTCTCATGTCATGTGTGTGTGTTTAGATACCAGAGAACTCTCTCCGGAGCCGTGTGCATATATACCGGGACGCGGTACTTCAACAGTTTTATTCAGTGTTTGTTGGTCTTTGCACTTTTTTGATGATCTGGATAAAAATTGTTGTTGGTACTGGTTTTTTTCTTTTGTTTGTTAGTTTTTTCAGGAAAGGCATGAATATAGATGTTGGCACCAACTATATTAAGACTCAATTCATTACTTGGGGTAGCAAAGTAGCTGAATCTTCCAGTGAGTGTTTTGTCAACACCTCGTGTGTATACAGGGTCATTGTTGTCATTTGTTTAGTGGTTCACAGGCATACGTGCACGTGCACACACACACGCGCACACACATACACGCACACACACACACATACACGCACACACACACACGCACACACACACACATACACGCACACACGCACGCACACACACACACATACACACACACACGCGTACATACACACACACGCGCACACACA